GTTTTTAGGACATGTGCTTTTAAAAGCATCAGATTCTATCTTGCCCATAATAGCTTAATGCATGCAGTCAGATCCACAAAGAACCTATTATGATGTTAATCTAACTCATGAAGCATAGTATGATACCTGTGTTAGTTAGATCCTAGGAGCAATGAGTTGCCCTCATCAGAAACTTCCACTCTGGGTATGGTTAACTGGCACTCCAATCAGTGTACTTTACAAGTGACTATTAGAAGTCCTTCTGTTATCCATGGCTCAATCCATACAAAAGGCTTTGCTAATTAGCTTAATAAATGTCAAGTGTGTTTCCACTGGGGTCGTGAGTGGCTTGCTAATATCTTGATGCAGACACAGTTCTTATTTGTGAATTCAGTAGTAGATTCAAGATAGGTGTGCTGACTACAAACAAGTCACAGTTCATTAACAAGAAGGTGACAAGATCTGTAGCTTGTACTTCTGTGGACGGTACCCAAGATCTGACTGCTAAATGCACTGCTGTTCAGCCATTAGCAGAGAAGTCTGCTTGCCTGATGCTGACCAAAAGGGTGATAGAATTTTGCCCCCAATGTTTGAGGCAGATGCTACTGCTTGCTAATGTTTAATCAGATATTCCGTGTAAGGCAAACTGAGTATGAGCTTTGCTTTTGTGTTAAGCAGATAGTGAATCCCATTATCTGCCAAAGAGTCTGAGGTAAATGACCAACTGGTTGTCAGTCTGAAAAATAAAGACATCTGGTACTTTTAAGTTACTCCCAAATAATATCAGTCAATCACCAATACCTATTTATCAAAGCAAGTTTATTATATTACTTATTCCAGACAGATAATGAGGCTTGTGTGTACAACTAAGAAATTAAGACAATCCAAATAAAAGGCAGGAAAAATTAATATGAATTACACAAACAGCTAACTAGAAAGGAGCAGCAGCTGCATTCATTTTACATTAACACTGTGAAGTGATGTAGCACCATTTACCTCAAATATATCCTAAGTACTTTTTAAGGTAATTACTTGGGTCCTTGCTAAAAATGCAGCAATACATTAAAAAATTAGAGCAAGCCTGATAATCTTATGTTCACCTAACTTCAAATATAAAATTCCAGAAAAAAATAGGAAATCTGGGAAGGCTCTGACCTTGTACAATTCTTTTAAAAAATCCTAAGGAAATAGTTACCATTTTTTAGACTGGCTTTCTTCTATTGCTTGCACTATATTCATCATCATTATCATGACTTAAATTCCAAGCTTTGGAAGGTTTAATAGGTAGTTATTTACGCACTTGTATAATTTTATTAAAAAAAATTTTTTACACTAAAGTTCTATTTATTGGTCTGTTCAATTTGAACCACAAACATGGAGGAATAAGAAATTTAAGGCTACCAAATCAAAGGATTAGAATCTTTAATTATTATTTTTTTAGGATCTTTAATTATTAATTCTGCTTTTTACCATTTCTAATGATTATTCTAAGCTATTCTACTGTGATCATTCCTACGTTGAAATTTGTTGGTTTGATCCTGCTAATGAAGTTAACATGAAGACATTTATAAATCCAATCATAAGCCTTTTTCTAAATACTGACAAAGTTTCATCTGAGATACATAAAGAAACTTGAAAAGAGAAATTCAGTATTCCAGAGTCTTTCATTAGCCCACTTTACTAGTTAAGAGCCACAGTACATTTTCAGAAATATACCACAGAAAAATCTTAAGAAAATTCCAAAGTTTGGGATTATTCAATCCTGTAAAGCTGTGGTCCCTAACTTTTTTTTTTCTTAGTGTCATGAACCATTTTGAGAACTGATCAAAGTATGAACTTCCCCTCAGAAATATGCATATGAACAAAAACTTCTTATATATATTTGCAAGGGATTCCCTACAGTCAATGATCTTGTAAGTTGGGAGTTCCTATTTTGAAGTGGTGGACACTGTGGAAAATAAGTTTAGCCCATTTTGACACTGTTCGTCTTCACTTCTCTGTGCCTATATAGGACAGTAAGCATTTTAATGTTACCAAATTGCTGTCTTGAGACAAAAACTCTTATTGTGAACACAGTCTTGTAAAATCCTCTTTGCCTAATTTTACGAGGTTTTAAGCCATGTATCCTGTCTCTCAAATTAGTTAAATCCCTAAGCTTTAAACTAGCAGATAATAATTTCTTTGATATATATTATTCTTTAGAGCCAGTCATTGAAAAGTAAGATTAAAATTTAATACCGTCACGAAAATGAATGTGTTGTCTACATACAGGTTATTTGACTTTATAAAATATATTTCTAGTTATACTTGCAATAAAACACATCTTAGAATCAAACATATTCACCTAGTGCCTCTGAACATAGCACATAATCACAGACCATTCCTTCTCCCTCTTAACTTACTTGGAACCCCATCTCCTTCCATGGTAACAAAATGTACAGCTGACCCTTGCACAACGCAGGAGGTAGAGGTGCTGAACCCCTCATCCCAGTTGAAAACACGTGTACTGCTAACTCTGTCTCAAAAACTTAGGAATTGATACATGACTCACCCAAGGGCAGGAAGCTGAAACAGTTTGGATAGAATCAGGACTCAAACCCTAGTTCTTTTGATTCTACATACTGTGATCTCTCCTACTTAAAGATCTGTAAGATAAAAATACAAGTACTATATTTACTGAAAAAATATGTATAGGTGACATATAGGACCTGTGTAGTTCAAATCTGTGTTTTCAAGGGTCAACTGTACTGATTGTTCTACCTACTGTCTGGGATAGAAAACACTTCATTTCTGACCAAACCCACCATCTCAAAAGCATCTCATCAATACCCCGAACCAGTCAGCAAACAGGTTGAAGAATGCGGTCTCTGAGGAGTTAAACACTCGACTATGTCTTTAACCCCAAGTCGAATGGACAATTAAAACAAGAGATATGACTATACTATAGTACAAAGGTTAAGCCTGTTGCTTTCTTATTAAAGAGAAACTCCACTAGTTACTCCAAAGAATTGGTTTACATAGTAGGTGAAACTTGGATGTATGTATGAAGAATTCTTAAAGCCCTTAAAGAAGTTTTTAATGTTTTGAGTCACATGACAATTATTCAGTCCTTTCATAATCATGCACTTCTGCTCAAACAGAATATTTATAAAACAAAGCTCAAAATACCTGAATAAAGGAAAAGGGTCAGCTAAAAAACAGCTTTGCCAAGGAAGCTACCATTTGGTCATGGGACTTCATTCTTGTCTTTTCCTATGTAAAAAGTAAAAAAGGAACAACCATTGTTTTCTCCTTGCTATTCTTTAACTTTCACAAAGGAAAACTTTAGAGGTAAACACTAGAATTTCCATTTCAGAGATGTAGGCAGGGGTCAGGAACAGGAGGGGAGAAGAAGGATACTGCTCTCTGATAATTAGAATTCAAGTTATTTCAGCTCAATGGTAAAGGGCTTGCAAGAAAAAATGGACTATGACTCCAATGGCTAAATGGCATCCCGTGTGTCCCGTAAACTATACAACTAAGGGCTTCTCCCTGCACTATTCAAATATACCATTTTGTTTTTCCTACTAGACCTGCTAAATGGTGAGTGCAAGATGAGGAAGGTAATATATACCAGCATTCCTGGCTGTGTAATCTATACATTTTCATTTTAATTCAAGCATAATCCATATTTAAAAAATTAGACTAAAGAGAGACAGTAAAGGTTTTAAAGTTTTCTCTTTGAAAAGATGGTATCTTACAGTACATACAAAAATACTCTGAAAATACATACGACTTCATTTACAAAACACTGAATCAACATATTACAAGAATTACATGGTTATGGATTTCAATAAATGGAGCATGCATTCATGAAACTTAAAAAATATTAAGAAAAGGACTGAAAAAAGCAGTGTAAAAAAAGACAACTCATATTTAAATAAAAATTACAAAGGTCCTGAGCCAATTAATGGTTGGTAACAATGTCATCAAAAATGCCTTTAGGTCTCAATAAAATCCACTGCTTATTTCTGCATGCCTAGTCCGTGAAGAAACTGAAGTTGTGGGGGTACGTAATGGTCAGGAATTATCATGCCAAGTTAAATTGTACACGTCAAAAATACAAGTTTGCCATACTTAAAGTATCTTTATTGGTGATGCCGGATTGAGTTGCTCCTCAGTAAAAAATACCAGTCAACTAACAAGAATGGCATGAGATAGGTTATGTAACAATTTCACCGTTCATATACTGACTTTCAGTATTCTGGTTATATTTTGATTCTTAATAAAGATGCATTTCAAAGGCCTCCACAGGAGGCAAAATATAGAGAATTTATGGTGCCCAACTCTTATGTAATCACTGGACTAATCCTCCCTGGTAACTATGCAACATTTGGACAGAAAGGCACAAAAAAATAAAATTTAAATATTTCATGTGCCAATCTGAGAAAAAATAATTTAAATCAACAGAATAGACAAAAAGTACATCTACACAAATGAGGAAAGCAGAAAAGATACCTCACATTCATTTATCTCAGGTTTCACAAAGTGGCTTCAATGCTAAAGTAAATGTGTTAACATTTGGAAAATTACAAGGCTTTTTTTGTGTTTTTTTTTTCCAATTTTTTCAGTTCTATACAATGATTACAACATAAGACTTTAAAAAAGGGGGGGTGGGGGGTGGGTCGTGGATATTTCAGGACTTGTTTTATGAGTGTCCAAAGAGCCAAGAACTGGTTCCCATAACAGAGAAACAAGCATCGAAAGTTAAGGCAGTAAAACCTCCAACGCAAAGTCATAATATTGCAGATGACAATTTGATAGCAGGTGATCCTCAGAGAAGTGTATGTAGCAATCAATGAGAGAATGCTACAGCATCTGCAGGTCAAAGTGTGAGAGTTCAAAAAACACTTCAAGGTCGTTAGGCGGATGACTGTAACTTTCACCTTATCTTATGTGTGACAGCTCACTCTATTTTTAAGAGTGGATGCATCTATACCACTAAATGATTGCATATTCACTTTAGTAAGGAGGCACTGCTTTTACCGATTTAGGGTCAGCCGAATGGAATTTTTGATGACACGGATGTTATTTGCTGGAACTGGAGATGATGAATCTGGTAGTTCTTTGCTGGGCAGTCTCTGTTAGAAAGAAATAGAAACAAAGAAGGAAAAACAAATGCATATTATTAAGGTCCAGTGAGTAAAACAGTAACAAAAGTCTGAGTTTTCTGCCAAGAGCTCTAAGTTCCTATACACTCAAGTATGCATTGAATACTTTCTCCCAATGTTCATAGGTACTTCTTGTTTGGGGGACTTAAAAACAGGTGAAAAGCAAAGGGACAGGGAAAGGGCAGAAGTGGAAGGGCTGTATGAATAAAAAAGAGGGCTGTGTAAAATCAATCGACACGTCTATACTGAGAAATGCACAAAAAACAAAGTCTTCCTCAGAGTCAGGCAATGGTAAAGAGAAATAGGAAGACTACGGTCACTAAACAGGAAATTCTCAGGGTGCAAGGTGAGAATGAGTGTGTGATACAGAGGGAAACTTGATATTGAGTTATAGCTCTCAATTAGTTTCTGTACAACATTCGTGGAGAATAACCCAACTTGTAAGATAATTAAGTTTTTAGGAAAACTGACTTTGCAGTCAGGGTAGGTAACTTTAGTGTTGGTACAATTCAGCAACATCTCTATGAAGGCTTTTGAAGACACTAAAGATTATTACATAATGAAGGCAAGTCTATGAAACTGAGAAACAAAGATAGAAACCTAAAATACAGATAGTTGTGTGATGGAAACAGTATGTTAGCTTCAAGTCATTAAGAGAAGACTGCAAGAAGTAATTCTCCTTTCACGTTACCTTGGCTAAACAATTATATCATACAGGCATCCATTAAAAAAACACGAAAAACTTCAGACATGCATAAAAGAAAGGACGATGAAGATGCCACAATGAAGACTCAGACATTATTAAAATTTTGCCATAGTTGTTTGTGTTGTACCCCTTGCCCTTTATACTTGAAATCTTTTAAAGTAAAACTCAGACATTTCATTTCACACTTTTAATATCTACCTCACACTTTTTCTTCCATTACCATACATTATATAATTATACACCTCTATTTTTTGTAACTCGCTCTTATGTTAAACTGTACAAATTCTACAACAGAAAGTATGAGGATATTTTCTAATTTGCTTCAGAATTGCCAATACATGCTGGGGAATCTGGCAGGGTGACAGCTGACTACAATGAGAAACACGAGCACCTACATTATTAACTAAAATGTTAACCCCATGAAAATATTTAAATTAAGATTTAGGGGCTCTTTAGCTCATGTTTCAAAGATATTTACTCTATACACCAGTATATTTGGTTCCTCCAAAATATTAGTAAGTATGGTCCCCAACTATCAAGCCTGATTTTCATCAGTAAGCAATGGGGTACAACAAAAGACTATCCGGTGTTGGTAGGAATTACTGTGCTGAGCACTAAACTGCTTCTTTAAAAATAAAAACATAAGTTGAACATACCTTGATTAAATCATGAAATCTTGAACAACCCCCTCTTTTCTAGACTTTTGAGATACATACGTTTAGGCTCATATACTCTGCTATTTCCATCCCCAACTTGCAACTACACTGCTGATATGGAGGACACGGACAAAATCTTACTAGCCCTTTCCTTCCCCTAGTGCTACACTCTTCTTAATGAGCTTTTTGTACCTGTAGATTACCTATGAACTCGTACCTGTGTATTTTACTTACAAATTAGACTATCTGTTACCTTTTTGCGTGATGTATCAATAGTTGGAATAGGCATACATTCTCCTCCAATGGCATCCTAAAAACAGAATTACATACAAGTGAAAACTTTCCTATATGCAAATATTTATTTCTACATGATGTAAGTCATAACTAAAAGTTAAGAGATAAATCTGATCTACTTTTGAATATAGTACTTTTACTGATACATGACTCTTTAAGTATTTTTAAGCACACTTAAAAATATTAATATACTTTAATATAATAACATAATATAATATATATAACATTAATATATTAATGTTAATATACTTACCACTGATTTTCTTTTTCTGTCTTCAGCAGCATGTGAATCCTTAAATGTTGATTCAAGTCGAATAAACTAGAATATAAACATTAAAATGAGGTGCTATTATTACCTATTAAATAGCTACTATTTATTTATAGGTGCTATTTATTACCTATAAAACCATATAAGTCTATATAAAATGAGAAACTAATTAGTGACCAGGCTAATGTCAAAACTATTACAAACAGGTTTGGTGAGCAAAGAGAATTTAAATCAGACTGAATTTAATTGACACCCTTAATTTCTATAGTTTGATCTACTGAGATGATAATAAAATACTTATACCACCACCTACTGGAAGCAGAGGAGATCACCATTATAACTCAATAAATAGTTACTAATAATGACTTTTACGTAAGCCAAGGAGAAACTCAGACTAATCATTCAAATTTTTAGACACATTATTGATTTGAATTCAGAATGAACAATTAGTATTATCCTATTAGGGTTTAGGGAAATATTCTTTTTAAACGGTCAAATCCTAATGGAATACTAAGGTAACTATGAAGTATGAGCTTCTTTAGCACTATTTTTAAGTTTTACTTTGAAAAAAAAAATTGACTACAGAATTACCACTAACTCTGTAATCATACCTTTTCTATGTCTTTCAATCTCTTAGAGGACCCATCTACAGATGGGGAGTGGGGTCTTTTAGGCGTAACATTCTTAGTTACATTTGACATCCCGTTTAGATGTGGCTGCCCCTGGACAGGGTTGTGAGGTGTGACCCTAGGAATGACATTTCGTCCTACCACTGTAGGAATGGTACACACAGCCGGGGGTGATACAGCTTTTAATGCAGAGTCGACTTCTGAAAAGGAAAAAAGAAAGGTTTTAGTAATTAAATACAGATGTAATAGAATCATAACTAAGAAAAGTGTAGATACCTACTTGCACCAATGACAGGAATAGATAGCCCTTGAGCTGGCGGGACACTCAGTGGCTTTTCCACAATTACAGCAGCAGGCTCAGCGTTATTCCTATAAAAAGTGTTAAAACTGTCATTATTAAATTATTTAAGTAATATGTATTTAAAACCTTATCTAAATGTTTAAATTACTTCTTTCAAGTACTCCTACTTTAACATTTCACCAAAGGAAGAAAAAACAGTGGGAAAAGGAAGAGGACCCAGTGAGAATTAACAGGAAAAATTAAAAGAGAAAACCTGGACATTTCTGTTTACTTACCTATTAATATGCCCATATATTCATAAACCTAGATCACATCCCACAGGATTACCACAAACTGTCAAGTAATTCTAAATAAGAAACTGACTAGTAACTCACAAAATAATTTTTTTTAACAGTTAAAAGATATTTAGCAAAAGTACAGAAGTTTACATTATCCTCAAATAAACTGAAGACTGAAAGGAAAATTTTGAAATACAGACCTCTCTGTCTCCCCTGAAGGAGGAATATCAGGCTTGGAAGGCTTGTTTGCAGACACTGGGGAATTAAAAGGTGTTTCATTATCAGTGTCTCTGGAGCTGTCCAAACAATTGCTATCCAGAGATGATCTTTTGGATTGAGGTCCACTTGAACTTCGAGTGACATCAGATAGACTTTGCTGAAACAGGGAAAAAGTTTTTAGGATTTCAAAAAGTATATGAGAAAAATGGTTTCAATTCCGAAGTACATATAAAACAAAAGGTATTTTGTGATTAATGAAGGTTAAGATTTTAGTCCTAGACTGAATTGCCTGTACGCTCCCAATTCCCTGTACAGCACCCAAACCTTCTCAATAGGTTTGGGCGCTGTAAAAATGCAGATTTAGGCCTAGGATCATGTGTCTGGGTTCAGACTGGAGAGGTGAGTACAAACTCACCTTTTTCTTCTTCTGAAGAATTTCTGCGGGAAGGTAGTGATGAAGTTGTTTTTTTTTAACATGAGTTGCTTCAATTTTCATTCCTTCCTTTAGCATGTTTATATTGTTTGCTTGTCTGTACACTGTAACAAAAGTCAGTATGTTTAAATGGGAAACTTCTTTCTAAAGAAAGGGTGCTATTTTCTTTTTCTAAAATATGTACCTTCAATATCTCCACATCACTACACAAAAACATATTCTTCTTACAGAACAAATACTTCCGAAACATTTTCACATCACAATCCTTTTCAAGTACTGACTAGTTTCCTCATGTCCAACTTCTAAGACTTTCCCATAATCAAATCTCACTAACAAAATTAATGTATGGAAAAAAGTTTTCCTAAATCTGTTTTTCTGCTATTTTCCCTAAGGGCAATCTCTTCTCATAACTACCAGCCCAAATCTGAGCTAATCCTAATACAATATATACAAGATGCAATTCAAGCTCTCCTCCTCCATGAAGTTTCTTTTACTACACAAGTCATAGACTGTTAGACGTGAGAAACCATCTAGAAGTACATCCTTATCATGCAGGTAGGTAAACAAGACTCAACAGCCTTGAATGCCCTGCCAGTACTGAAATACACATAGCCCCAGATTCCCACTCTAGTGCTTCTCACTCCTTGTAAGAAAGTCAGTTTTATTAACTACTATATAAATTATTTAGTGTGTGTTAACTGTGAATACTCATATGATAAGCTAACTGGAGAGGGTTGGGAGGTTTTTTCTGCACAGTATCTACTGGGAAATGTAAATTATATAATCTCTTGGGGCCTCAATATCTCTACCTGGAGAACATTTTATAAACCTGTAATAAACAGAGCTTCCCAACCCCTTCCCTTTTGGAAAAAATGAGTCCAAATTAGAATCGAAAATTTTATATCTATGTTTTCATTCCACATTGCTTATAAAAGAACCCTCAGGAGTGCATGTTCAATGTGCAGACTTCTGGCTCTACTCCCAGAGCCTATGATTCAGTAGTTGTAAGGTGATGCAGAGAAACCTGCATTTTCATGATAAATATGAGTGCTAGTTCAAAAGAAAAACTCAGATGAGCTAACCAAGAATATTAATAGTATAAATGTAGTTTTCACATGATTAAGACAACTCCACATTTATAACAAATATATTAAGATATTCCACAGAGGTGGTCTTAGAAGATGTGAAAGATTCTTTTCACCGATTCTGAAACATATTCAGCAAGCCTGTATTGACTGATACTTATTTCATGTAAAATAAAAGTCAAAAAACAAGTAATCTTTATGATTTTGGTTATAAACACTGGCTGCACAAACGAAAAATCACCTATAGAGTTTCTTTAGTCTTCTGTTTTAAAGTTAACATATTCATATGGTACAAAACTCAAAGGATTCATATGTATACAGTGAAGTGGCCTCTGTAAGACATACCCAATTAGTTCCTTGACCTAAAAGCATTTCTGCCAGTTTCTTTTATTAAAAAACTAAGGCTATGGTTTTTCCAGTGGTCATGTACGGATGTGAGAGTTGGACTGTGAAGAAAGCTGAGCACCAAAGAATTGATGCTTTTGAACTGTGGTGTTGGAGAAGACTCTTGAGAGTCCCTTGGACTGCAAGGAGATCCAACCAGTCCATCCTAAAAGAGATCAGTCCTGGGTGTTCACTGGAAGGACTGATGCTGAAGCTGAAACGCCAATACTTTGGCCACCTCATGCGAACAGTTGACTTGTTGGAAAAGACCCTGATGCTGGGAGTGGTTGGGGGCAGGAGGAGAAGAGGACGACAGAGGATGAGATGGTTGGATGGCATCACCGACTCGATGGGCATGAGTCTGAGTAAACTCCAGGAGTTGGTGATGGACAGGGAGGCCTGGCGTGCTTCGATTCATGGGGTCGCAAAGAGTTGGACATGACTGAGCGAATGAACTGAACTGAACTGATATATCCTTCCAGAGATAGTCTATGATTTTTAACCAAAAATGCATGCATTTCTTTACTGATTTATATAAATGATACTATACTATACCTACTGGTCTGCACCTCCCCCCTCCCTCAAGAGGTCTTGTAAGTTGTTTCATCATGCCTTTACTAAGGGCAGCGTATAATTTCATAATATAGATGTTTCATGTTCATTTAACCAATTGTGGAACTTTATAAAAATACAGCCAGCCTAGACAGAGGATACTGCACTACAGCCAAGAATGAGTGCCACAGCTCTATGACGACAAAGTCTTACCTGTATCAGTAAACGACTGTATATCATATGTCAAGTCTATATTAACACTTTCTGCATTTTCTACTCTCCGAAAAATTATTCCAAGGAACCACATTGATACATAATTGTTGCTATAAAATAAAATGTAAGAATTTCCATTAATTTATAATAATTTTACAGATGCTCTTTGGTAATTAAAACTTGGTCTCTGTGGAAGCACAAATACAAATTTCAATGGTTTGGCCAAATTCTTAAAAAACACTGTTAAGTTATCCTGTGTTATTATAGCAGATTAAATGCTTTGAAAATGACTAACTAAATATGTATTTAAGGATGCTCCAAATATTGGCTGTGATGGACCTTTTTGCTGAGGTCTGCGGGCTACCAACATAGCATGTACTTGGTTGTTTTTTTTTGGCCTCGTCATGTGGCTTGTGAGATTTCAGTTCCCCGACCAGGGATTGAACCTGGGCCCTGGGCAGTGAGAGTCAGAATCCTAACCACTGAGCCACCACGGAATTCCCAACATGTACTTGGTTTTAATGCATGATCACTTATGCTCAAGTATACGATTTATCATTCTCCATCCTCCAGCAATAACTGCTATGTAACATGGCAATCTTATAACTGATCTTAAATATACATATGTCAGGTAATATTATTTAAGAAATAAAATATTAAAAAATAATTAACTTACTCTTTATGATGTTCCTTATTTCCTGGGAATGATTGGGGATTTACATGGGCAAGAGTAATAAATTCATTCCGTTCCAAATTTCCCACAAGTACACGTATTTTAGATTCTACTAACCCAACCCTAAAATAAAAACACAGACAAGAATTTTCAATGTTAAATGTGGAAGCTATATCCAAGTAAACCAAATAGCATATAAGCTATGATGATTTTGTTGTTCAGTTCCTAAGTCGTGTCTGACTCTGTGACTCCATGGACTGCAGACACGAAGCTTCCCTGTCCTTCACTATCTACCAGAGTTTGAGCAAACTCATGTCCATTGAGTCAGTATGCCATCTAACCACCTTATCCTCTGCTGTCCCCTTCTCCTGCCTTCAATCTTTCCCAGCATCTGGGTCTTTTCTAATGAGTCGGCTCTTTGCATCAGGTGGCCAAAGTATTGGAGTTTCAGCTTCAGTCTTCCAGCAAATATTCAGGACTGATTTCCTTTAGGATTGACTGCTTGGATCTCCCTGCTATCCAAGGGATTCTCAAGAGTCATCTCCAGCACCACAGTTTGAAAGCATCAATTCTTTGGTGCTCAGCCTTCTTTATGGTCCAACTCTCATATCCGTACACGGCCACTGGAAAAACCACAGCCTTGACTATGTAGACCTTTGTCAGCAAAGTGACATTTCTACTTTTTAATATGCTAAGTTTGTCACAGTTTTTCTTCCAAGGAGCAAGAGTCTTTTAATCATGGCTGCAGTCACCATCTGCAGTGATTCTGGAGCCCAAGAAAACACAGTCTATCACTGTACTGTTTCCACTGTTTCCCCATCTATTTGCCATGAAGTGGCAGGACCAGATGCCATGATCTTCATTTTTTGAATAGTGAGTTTTCAGCCAGCTTTTTCACTCTCCTCTTTCACTTTCATTAAGAGGCTCTTTAGTTTCTCTTCGCTTTCTGCCATTAGGGTGGCATCATCTGCATGTCTGAGGTTGCTGATATTTCTCACAGCAATCTTGATTCCGGCTTGTGATTCATCCAGGCAAGCACTTACAATGTATTCTGCATATAAATTAAATCAGCAGGATGGCAATATACAGCCTTGACGTACTCTCTTTCCCAATTTTGAACCAGTCTGTTGTTCCATGTCCAGTACCAACTGTTGCTTCCTGACCTGCACACAGGTTTCTCAGGAGGCAGGTAAGGTGGTCTGGTATTCCCATCTCTTTCGGAATTTTCCAGTTTGTGTGATTCACACAACAGTCAAAGGCTTTATCGTGGTCAATGAAGCAGACGTAGATGTTCTTGTGGAATTCCCTTACTTTTTCCATAATCCAAATGATTTGGCAACTGGTTTCTCTGCATTTTCTAAATCTAACTTTATGTGTTCATTAAAAAAATTCAGGCCAATGTATTAAGAGACCCTGTTAGGATATCATTCAAGTAAATGAAAAGTTACTTAGTGAACTGTTTCCTCTCCTTTCAAGAAGGATCTATCTGTTTAATGCACTCTTGATCTAAAATACTGCCTTTTAGGGCCATAAAATAGTCATAACTGGAGCATGTGTGTATATGTGTGTCTCTATACACATTATGGTTATATACTAGGTATCAGAATCATTCAAATCCCTCACAATTTTGCTTAAATCTGACTCTGAGAAGTGACAAAAAGCAAAAGTCTGTGCATGTATCCTTATCTCATGTCAGTTTCAATTCTGAAACATTAATTTGATGGCATTTCTGAAACACTGATACTCACAAGTACAACAGTCACTATAATATTTAATAATTGAAAAGTGTTTTAGAAATGATAAAGCATCATATAAATATGTTATCATTACATAGTAGGCAGAGAACTTGAAATGCCTTACCACTCTAGATGATTTTCTTCTGTTGATGCACTGGCAGTCAATACTATATAATGTCTGTGAAGAATTTTCAGCAACAATCAGGGGGAAAAAACCAGAAATTATTGTTAGAGTCTGACTTTCCATCATTACTTTTTCTTTCTCCCTCCCAATGAACAAAAAAGCTAACAAAGGCACACATTTATGAAAAGTGAAACATGCTCTGATTTTCACAAAATTAATTCTAGACCCTCTAATTAAAAACAATTCACTAAAACCAAAACCCCACAAATATCTGGGTTGATACTACTGGAGTACAGACTTTCTTATCACCTAGGGTTTCTGCTAACCTATTCTCTACCTCACTTGAACTATTCAAGTGACAAATGTCACCTATTATGTATTAACTTTGTAAGTTTAATATTCCTCTTCCTTACACACACACACACACACACAATGCAAAATTTCAAATACCTATACTTTTGGAAAAAATTTGGTGGCTCAAGTAGTTTGGACCAATCTGATTTCCCCTGAAGAATTTCATCTGTGACTGCAAGACCTAAAGAGAGAAAGAAACACAGATTCTGAAAACTCAGCATCATAGCTCCTGTATTACCCTTCCCTCAAAGCTCTAACTCCATCAAATCCCTAAGTTAAAAAAAAAAAGTATAAATTTATTATGTTCTTTCTTAGAACACAAAAGTCAAATTTCAACCAGACTGGAGTGGCTTCATTTTGGCCTTTTAATATTATCACATACTTTGCAAAACCAATTATTGAAAAAATACACATCTGAAAGGATTTTTAGAAATAATAGGCATAAATGCAATAGAATAAAATTGTTGTCAACCAAAACTTGTGGGAATATGTATAGGGCAACAGGGCTAACAGGTTTACCTTGTTTAAATTCTTCTACCATTACTGTTCGAGTTGATGTGGACACATTATACGTAGAATTCTGTTGTGGGTAGGCAGGGGTGATTATGGGCATGAGATGATACCTATCTGATGGATTTACCTGTGAAATTAGAAGCAGAATAATTGATCTATTCTCCTATTTCAGTTGTCCTCACTTCATTTCCCCAAAAGTCTGAAGAATATGAAATATATTTTAATACTACATTTCCTCAATTCTAAGAAGAACATTTCCCCTCCCCAACTACATTTATTTCTGAAGTCAGATGTGTATGGTAGTCAAACTTAAAAAAAAAACTCTGCAAAATTTTATTTTTCCCTTGAAAAGTTTTCAAATTGATGGTACACTTTATAAACAATGGTCTTTTAGAACCAAGGAAATATAATAGTAAGTGCAGAGGATTATCTGGTCCAAAGGTCCTCTATCCTCTTTCCACACCTTCCCCCTGGTTACTCAGGAATCAGTACTCTAAAAGCAAATTAAAATGCAAGGTGAGAGTTCTGCTATCATGGGACCATGAATCTGCTTTAAACTGCACAGCAAAGTACATGTTTTATATATGTCGGTATTTTATTATTAATAACTAATTACTTGTAAGACAGCATTAAACAATAGATTATGACATCCTGGTTGATACAACCACTCATCAAATCTTATACGGGTGATTTTTAATGCCCTAATATTTGGATCAGCACTGGAGACACAAATCATCTGCACCAAAAAACACCATAGAGGGAGGGAAAGGACTACAGTTACACAGAAGGAAGATGAACAGGAACAAGGGGAATTATCCTTAACTAGATTTCACTTTACAGAAGTGTCCTTTTCCTAGAAAGCTTTAATAAGTTACACACCCGAGGATCCCAAACTGGCAAATTCAAATTGCTTTCTTCTGGTTGCTTCAGCAGCACAGGATTTGGCCATTCCCTAACATGAAATAGGAAAATAAACTCATGTAAGACGTCACTTCAGGAACTACATGAAATATTAAAAGCTGCTTATTTTAAGGCGGTGCTCTCTGAAAGGGCGAATACTGCTTTGCCCATTAACTTTAACTAATTTAAACCTGAATTTTTTCTTTCCTTCTCATTTGCTTTCATAGACTTAACTCTGATAATTTAGTAACATCAACAGCTAACATTTACCGAGAATACTCCTAATAAATACATGCAGCAGCTATGGTTATTATCTCTCTTTTACAGACGAGATCTTAACCTATATAGAGCTGGTAACTGGCAGAGCAAAGACCACTCTCACTAGCTAAAGGCCCACATTTACAGACCCCCTAGAAGAAAGCACCATCTGATGTCCCATCATTTCCTCAAATTTGATGTTTAAAATATAACTTTTAAAAAGGAATGTAAGACAACAGGAAAACTGTAAGCATAACTCTTAAATTTCCAGATAAGTATACACATACACACAAGTTAGTAAGCAGAATAAAATATGTATATGACTACTTACCATTTGGAAAAAACTAAGAAGAACTTATGGACTAAAGTAGAAGCTGCTGCATTTGGATATAATTGGCAAGTTCTTGCAACCAGCATTGCCCAGGAGACACCACCAAGGAATCCCAGCATGTTGGAATAAATACCACGTCCTAGAAAATTAATATAGTTGTTAATTATTGTTAGGACCTACTATCCATGACATTCACGTATAAGGAACAGCTTAAAGTTTAACTGCTCTCCTAAGATTTGCTTGGAACTCTTTTCCATTATAGAAACATTAAAATCAACAAGCAGACCTTCATGACAGGCTCATTCTTGTTAGTAACCCTAAGTCACTCATCTTATCTCCTACTTTGCCCTCCAATACAGAGTGCTGTAAGGTAAAAAGAAAATGTTAAAACTATCACTGTAGGTTCTTCCTTTAAAAAATTTACTGCACACCTATTATATACTAGACGGCTGACGATGGAGATAAAGATGATCAAGATGGTTCTGCCCAGGAGAACTCGAAGATGAGTAAGGATTTTACTCTTCAAGTTCTAACTCATTCTAACTCCCTGGCTGAAACCTAAGAGTCAGGGGCTTTTAGTTTTCACCTATGGAAGAAAAAAAAGAGTCACTCATCAGAGAATCAGAAGCATCACATCTGAAAAAGAAACAGCCCCTGCAAAACCTACTGTACTTCAATCCCCCACAGTAGTTTCCTGTGTCTGTCTACCATGAGCAACTGAAAATTGTAATTTTATAACTCAAGGTAAAATTAAAGACCCTGTATACTTACGCTTTGCCCATAGTTTAACTGCTCTTAGGGTGAGTCTGAAAGTTTCTTTATTTGGCACTAAATGCAAAATTTCATCAGTAACTCTACATCCTGAAAAACATAAAGCATTCATTTTTCATTATGCAACAAATTCCAGTTAATTCAAACAGCCTTTTAACTTCAACTCTCAAATGCTAAAAATACCAAAGATAATAAACTATGAAGTTTAATTTCTTCATGTACTTTCAATTTTACCCTTATATAACAGAAATCACTTTGCTTATAAAGAATTAAACAGCACATGGGTAATACAATCTAATATTAAAATAAGAGATGAATCTGAAATATATTCTTCTTTCCACATCTGTCTTTACTGTTATTCAAATGCCTCTAAGTTAGAAAACTACTACTGCTTTAATGCAAACCTTATCCACAAATACTGTAATCTATTGCTGCTCTCTGGAAATATAGCAAAACATAATGATTAAGAAGATACTCTAAACCAGTAGTTCTCAAGGTGTGGCCCTGGGGACTCTTATTAGATCAAATCTATTTTTGTGACACTAATGCGTTCTTTGTTTCACCATGTTAAATTTGCACTCAAGGTGCGAAACCAGTGTTGGATAAAACTGCTGGGATCTAAGCAGTGAATCAAAGCTGTGCCAACAAAGTGTACCAGTAGACGATATTATCTTCACCACAAGTTTGCAGTTAGAAAACAGGAGAGGAACTTGTGTGATGTCTGAACGTGTTCAAGGTAAGCTAACTATGTTTTTTTTTTCAGGGAACATCAGTTTTAGTAGGAAGAATGATTGACAGACAACAGTGGTTATTCATTTTTGGGTGTTTAAGCAGATATTTCATAAAAAATGAACAAAATGAGCCCCTCACTTTTAGAAAAGCAAATGATGAAATTTATTGCAATAAAACTTGAGCTTTCAAGTAAAAATCAGAAGTTTGGACAACTAGTATTTGCTACTATGAGCTTGACAGTTTTCCAAGACCTAGGCTTTTCTGATGAGATTGGTGGTGACAATGATGAATGTAATTTTTAAAAAATTATTTTATAGTAAAATGTGTGTTAATATTTAGAAGATCCAAGTAACTTTGTGAGCCAGTATTTTCCACATACCTAAGGCATGATAAGACAGACTCATTCATGGGTAAAAGATCCATTCAAAGAATCAGACACACCAATAGATTTTAATGTAACAGTGTACAAAAGTTAACTGATAACAGTTGCAGGTTCTACATTCTAATCAACATGTAAAACAGATCACTTTTAATTCCTCAGAAAAGGGAACAAATTACTGAGGTATGCTGCAAACATGGATAAACCTCAAAAACATTACAGAAAGTGAAAGAAGCCAGACACAAAAGACCACGTATTATACGATCCCATTCATATGAAATATCCAGAAAAGGCAAATCTACAGAGATAGAAATGGTTGCTGGTGACTGGAGGTTGAAAAGGGGAATAACTGCAAATGGGTATGAGGGATCATTCAAGAATGATAAAAAATGTTCTAAAATTCTACTGTAGTGTAAAACTGTAAATATACTGAGACTGCTAAATTATACACTTAAAAACGATGGATTTTATAGTATGTAATTATACCTGAATAAAGCTGTTAAAAAGAAAACAAACTGTCACTGGTCAAGTTTTGGGGCAGTATTAAATATCCACAATTATGTGAAAGGCTATTAAAATAACTCCCTTTTCCAATTACCTATCTTTAAGAAGTCAGATTTTCTCCCCATGCTTCAATCAAAGTAAAATTTTATGATACTGACAATAAAAGCAGGTATGAGAAAATATTAGTCACAAAAATGCCAAAAAAACCTGCCATTCTCACATAAAAATATATCTATATTCACTTATAAATGGATTTATTATAGCTATTTTTAAATGGACTAAGTAAATATCTTAAAAATTTCTCACTTTTTATTTCTAATATGAAATACTGATAAATATAATTCACATAAATGGAAGATTTTGGGGGGTCCTCAAAAAATGTTTATAGAGTGTAAAGGGGTCCTGACACCAAAAAGCCTGAGAACCACCTCTATAAACATTTCAAATGTGTGTTTTATGATGGTTAAATGTGATCAGATTACTTGTATGAAAAAAATTATATCATTTTAAACTAAGTTAGGCTAATTCTTATAAAAGTTTTGCAAAAAGATCTCTATTTGTGTAACTGTTTTCAAGCAGGTTTCTGAAATTTCTTTTTGGAAGCTTACCATTTAGGCTGCGAATACACCTGATATCAAGGCTTCTCAGTCGAGAGTCATCTCTTAGATCTAAATTTTCTGATATGGTCTGTATTGCCAATCTTGCAAAGACTAAATCAATCTTTGGAAAAAAGAAAAGCAAGAGAGAAATATTACTTTCTCCTAGTCCATTCTCCCTGTCTTTCCCATCTCAAAAATGTAAAAAGTTCTAATTACTAGTTTGGTAAGTTCTACCAAAATTTCCAAAGGCCTATGCAGGCAACACCACATTGGAAAATCACTGCAAAGTTTTGGGAGAACAGTTTTCAAATGAAGGGAAAGCATTTTAATTTTGCCAAGCATTTGAAAAAAAAAATAATAAAAACCATATGAGTGAAATTTCTAGTTTATAAAGATGGCAGATTCAACACATTTACATTCATTTCCTCTTGAAAGCCCACTAAAATACTGGCAAAATTTTGTTTTGTTGTGTTCTAGTGTTATTGTTTTTAAAGGCATAACCCACTACGCAAAGAACACAGTGGGAGAAAACAGCAAAAACTATGAAAGCTGGAAAACAGATGGACAAATGTAACAGACTGAGCAGATCTAAGAAAGCAGAGATAAAATGTATCTCGGAAATAAGGACAAGAAGCTGTAAATAAACTCATAAATAAAAAGGAACATTTAGAGAATAAAGACGTATTCTTAGAAAATAAAGTATGATGGCAGAAATGAAAAACAAGAGAAAAGTTTAAAAGATGAGACAAGCCCAAAAAGCAGAACAAAATATGAAGACACAGTTATAAGTAGGAAGGAAAAGGTTAAAAAAAAAAGGCAGTCCTGGGGGTTCAAAAATGTTAGAGGAGTTCCAGGAGGACAGAAAACAAAGGCAGGAAACACAACAGAATTCAATACAATTTCCAAGAGGTGAAGGACAGTTATTTCCAAATTGAAGGAACTGAGTGCCTTAGCACATCTGTTTGAAAAGATACATAGCAAAACAAAGTGTATTACCATGAATTTTACAATGATGAAGACCACGGGGAAAAAAGAAAACCACATAGTGGTCAAAAAGACAAAACAGGTCACATACAAAGGATGAGGAATCAAATTGGTTTCACATTCCTCAAGAGAGTATGGCAACAAGATGACAATGAAGCAAACAAGGCCTTCAAAATAATCCTAAGAAAAATTATTTCCCACTATACTTAGCCAACATATCAATTTGGTGTGAGAACAGAATAAAGACATTTTTAAACATGCAAGATCTCAAAAATGTGTGCTCTTTTTAGGGAAACTGGTGGATGAGTGCCTCTAAAAAGAGAGCAAGTCAAGAGAAAAGAAAACAAGAGAAGCAAAAGGAAATCCCAGATCAGTGAAGAGAGAAGTCAGAATAACAGCTGTGTATCACTCATGGAGGTCAATCAGAGTAGATCTGAATAGATGAGAAGAATCAGTGAGATATTTTTCCAAGATACTAGTGACAGAACACCTGAGAAATCCAAATTTATTTAATGGAGATTTAGACAATCAGGAGAGACTGAGTTTGAATTAGTAACAGTATAAAAATCAAGGAAACAAGACACAAAACATTAACTTCGAGAAAACAAAAGTCACATAGCAAAGAATGGTAACCTAGTACATTTTGTGCTTAGTTTGGAACAGTATTTATAAGATCATAATAACAAAAACAATGAATACTGCTCTAACTAAAACTATAATAATATAATTATTTTAGGAGATTATAGGAATGAGACAGATGTGTATTAAAATAATGGGGGCAGGGATGAAGGATGGTTCATCTTCCACGGTGAGGAAGGATTCACCATGACTAGACTATTTAATTCCTTAAAATACAGGCTTTTGTAAATCTGATTTTTAAAAAATACAGAACAGCACCAAAAAAACACCCCATACAGGTTAAATAGTTCAACTGTAAAGTCAGAAAAATAGATAACACTTACTTCAATTCCGTCAAATTCAAATTTTATAACAGGCACAAAGGCATCTTCTACAGCCTGCAAAAGAAGAAAACAATGACAACAAATAAGGTGTAATCTTTCCTCTGTCCTTCTCAAATGCCAATAATGTGAATACTTTTTCTCCCAATTTCTAACTCAGTAGAAAATATGAAAATTTTCTTGGTTTCTCATCCTAGGTAACCAAGTACTTCTACTCTGTGACTGTGTTATCTAAGATATGCAAAATATCCATCAGAGTAGTTATCTAAGTTATTATCCTCCTAAAAATACTCATCAGAAACTGGCAGGGAAAAATGCTATCATCTGGGTATTTACTATTTGTTGGAACTTATATTGAAATCTGATTATTTACCAAGAGCACTAGTGTAAATAACGTATCAGATCTCATGACTAATTTAGCAAAAAAACCTATACAGTTTGGATTTAGTAGGAATGTTTCTCTCGAGCCCTCCTAATCCCTCCACCGAGTGAATTCTTAGCCTCCTCCTCTATTCCCAGAAACCCAAATAACAAGATCCTCTGAGCTTCACCTTATCCAAGCACTTGAAATTACATTAAAACCGTTTGTTGGACTTGCCTGGTAGTCCAGTGTTAAGAATCTGCCTGTCAATGCAGGGGACACATATTCGACCCCTGGCTGGAGAAGATTCCACATGCTTTGGAGCAACAAAGCCTGTGCCCCACAACTACTGGGCCCAGGTGCCTAGAGCCTGTGCTCTGCAACAAGATAAGCCACTGCAGTGAGAAGCCAAGGGCTGCAATGAGGAGTAGCCCCCCAACTCGCCACAACTGAGAAAGCCCATGAGCAGCAATGAAAACCCAGCACAGCAAAAATAATAAATAGATAAATAAATAAACCGTTTGGTTTAGTTCCCCCAATCCCTCCATCCCATAAACTATGTTTTGTTCACTCTTGTATTTGGGGGACTAAGGCCATATTGGATGAATCACTGGTGCTGAAATTTTATTTGCTGAATGAATAGCTAGATATACACACATAAAGAGTTACTGATAGAACCTTACACATAATAGCAGCTACAATTTGATAGGCATCAACCATTTACCAGATATTACAGTAACTGATTTATGTAAATTATCTCATCTCATCAATCCTCCAAAAAACTTTACAAGAAAGTTATCACTAGATTGTCATTTTATAGCTAAGGAAACTGAGACTCAGAATAGGTAACTTGACCAAAATCCACTATTTAATATGTGGTAGATTTTAGACTCAATCAAGGTCTGTATAACTAAAAAGCTCATGTTTTTATATATAATGGAATATTACTCAATCTTAAAAAGGAACAAATCTGAGTCAGCTGAACTAACGTGGAAGAACCTAGAGCCTGTTGATACAGAGTGAAGTCAGTCAGAAAAACAGAAACAAATATCCTATGTTAACTCAAATATGGAACCTAGAAAAATGGCACGGGTGAGCCTATCTGCAGGGCAGACATGGAGAACGGACTTGTGGTGGACACAGAGTGGGGAAGAGGTGGGGACAAACTGAGACAGGAACACTGACACACACCACCATGAGTAAAACAGGCAGCCAGCGGCAAGCCGCTGTGTAACACAGGGAGTTCAGCCTGGTGCTGTGACAACCCAGAGGGAGGGGATGGGGACGGGGAGGGGGGGAGGCTGAAGAGGGAGAGGACACGTATCTATACTTACGGCTGATTCACGCTGTTGTCTGACAGAAACCAGTACATTTTAAGCAATTACCCTCCAATTTTTAAAAAAGCCCATGTTTTAAATCACCATCCATTAGCTTAAGATACAGCAACTTTTTAAATATATCAATCATCACAAGCCCTAGCTTTTGCTGTTATTTGTTAACAAATTCAAAATATTAAATAACAGAGGATACTTACTCTTAAGTTTCTAATGCCATCTTGATGTTTCAACTTTTCAAAAAAAGACTGAAAAAAATCAGATCTTTCCACATGTCTTGGGGCTACACAAAGTGCATCAATGTCAGCTCCTGCAAATCAAAGTATTATTAAGAACAGTATATTGAGTATGTATTACATTTTTGTAAACAAAAACATATGTACAGAAGAAACTGTAAAATGAGTATAGGAAAATGTTAACACTGATTAACTCTGAGTGATGAGATAATGGGAATTTTTTCCCCTGTATTTTCTAATTATAAACAATAAATAAGTTTGTTATTCAAAGTTCTTACCAGTGAGAAGGCGAGGGTGGGATGTTTCAAGAGAACAGCATCGAAACACGTGTATTATCTAGGGTGAAACAGATCACCAGCCCAGGTTGGGTGCATGAGACAAGTGCTCGGGCCTGGTGCACTGGGAAGACCCAGAGGGATTGGGTGGAGAGGGAGGTGGGAGAGGGGACCGGGATGGGGAATACATGTAAATCCATGGCTAATTCATTTCAATGTATGACAAAAACCACTGCAATGATGTAAAGTAATTAGCCTCCAACTAATAAAAATAAATGAAAAAAAAAATATATATATATAAAATTTAAAAAAAATAAACAAAGTTCTTACCAGTTAAAACACAGAAAAGAAATTACCTTTGGTGTGTACTCCAAGTCTATAGGAGCCAAAAGTAAAAATTTTTCCACCAACAGTAGCCACAACAGAAGGTGGAAGATTCTAAAATAAAATAAAAAATATAAAAGGCATTCAATTATTCAAATTATTTCACATTAAAACTGCCTAAGTGCTCTAATAAACATTGGTGAGGATGTGAAGAAAAGGTAATCCTTACAGACTATTTATGGGAATGTATCAATATATTGGTGCAACAACTATAGAAAACTGGAAGCTTCCTTAAAAAAACTAAAAATAGAACTACCATATGATCCAGCAATTACTGGATCACACTCCTGGGAATATATCGGAAGAAAATAAAAACATTAATTCAAAAAGATATGTACCTTCATGTTGGGTACATATCTAAATTGTAACATATATAAATTGGGAAAGGAGTATGTCAAGGCTGTATATTGTCACCTGCATATTTAGCTCCTATGCAGAATATATTATAAGTGCAGGGCTGGATGAATCACAAGCCGGAATCAAGACTGCTGTGAGAAATATCAACAACCTCAGGTATGCAGATGATATCACCCTAATGGCCGAAAGCGAAGAGGAACTAAAGAGCCTCCTGAAAGTGAAAGAGGAGTATGAAAATGCTGGCTTAAAACTCAACATTCAAAAAATGAAGATTATGGCATCTGGTCCCATCACTTCATGGCAAATAGGTGGGGAAACAATGGAAACAGTGATAGACTGTATTTTCTTGGGCTCCAAAATCACTGCAGATGGTGACTGCAGCCATGAGATTAAAAGACACTTGCTCCTTGGAAGAAAAGCTATGACAAACCTAGACAGCATATTAAAAAGTAGAGACGTCACTTTGTTGACAAAGGTCTGTATAGTCAGGGCTGTGGTTTTTCCAGTGGTCATGTATGGATGTGAGAGTGGGACAAAAAGAAAGCTGAGCACCAAAGAATTGATGCTTTTGAACTATGGTGATGGAGAAGACTCTTGAGACTCCCCTGGACTGCAAGGACATCCAAGCAGTCAATCCTAAAGGAAATCAGTCCTGATTATTCACTGGAAGGACTGATGCTGCAGCTGAAACTCCAATACTTTGGCCACCTGAAGCGAAGAACTGACTCACTGGAAAAGACCCTGATGCTGGGAAAGACTGAAGGTGGGAGGAGAAGGGGACAGCAGGGGATGAGATGCTTCGATAGCATCACTGACTCGATGTACATGAGTTTGAGCAAGCTCTGGGAGCTGGTGATGGACAGGGAAGCCTGGCGTGCTGCAGCCCATGGGGTTGCAGAGTCGAACAAGATTGAGCAATTGAACTACTACCCTCGTGATCTTAGCAGCATTATTTATAGTAGCCAAGACATGGAAGCAACTTAAATGTCCATCAACAGAAGAATGGATAAAGATGTAGTGTGTGTATGCGCATGTGTATAATGTAATAGTACTCAGTCATAAAAAAACAAAATTTTGCCATTTGCAACAACATGGATGGATTTCAAGGGTATTATGCTTATGTAAGTCAGACAGAGAAAGACAAATATTGTATGTTATTACTTACATGTAAATGTAAAAAACAAGTGAATATAACAGCAAGAAACAGACTTGTAGATACAGAGAACTAATAGTGGTTACCAGTGAGGAGAAGGGCACAACGGGGTAGAGGATTAAGAGGTACAAACTACTATGTATAAAATAAAGTACAAGGACATACTGTACAGCACAGGGAACATAGCCATATTTTAAAATAATTTTAAGTGGTGCATACCTTTAAAAATTGCAAACCACTATGTTGTACACCTAACATTTATATACTGTAAATAAACTATACCTCAATTAAAAAAAAAAACTGCCTAAATGCTACTGATATATACTACATTTGTCAAATTTAGTGAGCTGAGATTTATAGAATTTATTTGATTGTAGCCTGAAGTAATGAAGGTATTCTCAGAGGACAGACAAAACAAATTTGTGTCCAGTATACATGCATACATGGGCTTCTTTGGTGGCACAGTGGTAAAGAATTTGCCTGCCAGTGCAGGAGACACAAGATCCCTGAGTCAAGATCCCCTGGAGGAGGAAGTGGTAATCCATTGCAGTATTCTTGTTGGGTAAATCCCATGTACACAGGAGTCTGACACACTACAGTCCATACAGTCACAGTCACACATGACTGAACAGACACACACAGATGCATACATCTCATACACACACACACACAGATGCATATATCCCTATCTTAAGAAAAATATTTTCTATCATTTGACCTTTGTCCCCTCCAACTGCCTGTCTCTGACTCCTTGGTGACTCTCAATAGTAGAACCCTCAACTACTAAATTAATGCACTTTCAGCTCTGTAGTTATCACAGTTGACTAATTCCATCTCCCCTTTAGTTCTTGTGACAGATATGCTTAATTTCTTGATTCTAGCTCCATAATATTTCTGCAAGAAAGTGGGGTCATTCTTAAAATGATCTCCTCATGAGAGGTAATCTAACAACTTTACATATTTTGGGCTGTATCAGAATTACAATGCTACTTTTCACCTCTCTAGAGACAATTCTAACTGCCCATCAGATATTTTCACTCACACTTTGATTCACTTCAGTAACCATGACTGAAACCTAACAAAAAAAAATCCTATGATAAACCAGGTATCCCTCCTTCTGAGTTCTCTTTTTCTGTTCCTCATTTTCCTTACTGCCCATACCTATAAACCATTATTGTTCTTCCTGGATTACTAATTCTTAAATTATATCCCTTACACATCACTTCCTCCCCACCCACCTCCATTCTGTGCTATTTAATAGTATCATAAATTATTCTCTTGCCATTGGTCTTTATTTCTAAATCCCATTTTGTAAAAAATTCATTGGCTGATATTTTTAACTCTATCACATAACTCTTTTGCTCGAAACTTGCCAATGCATTCTTTTCTGGATACTGACCCTTGGATCCTAAGGACTTCCATGGTATGCTCTTAAGGATCTTTCTTGCCTTGTCTCTTGATATTCCCTTCTGAAGCTCCAACTGCCAACATGTTACATAACCTGGTCTCCTTCCCATTGCATTTGCCATTTTCCTTGCCTCAAATGGGCCAACGGTTTGGTGGCTCAGCTGGTACAGAATTTGCCTGTAATGCAGGAGACCCGGGTTTGATCCCTGGGTTGGGAAGATCCCCTGGAGAAGCGAATGGCAATCCACTCCAGTATTCTTGCCTGGAAAATTCCATGGACAGAGGAACCGGGTGGGTTACATTCAGTCCATGGGGTCACAGAGTCAGACATGATTGAGTGACTAACACTTTCACTTTTGCCTCAAATGCTTGCTGTCCTTTCTGCTATCTCAATTCCATCTATTTTTCAAAGTTCACTTCAAGTCCCACTTTCCTCATGAAGCTTTCTTTGATTACCCACCTCCTTATAAGAAGCTCTTTTCCCCTCCATGTGCTCTTTCATACTACATTTATTTTTTTTCTTCCCTGTATGTTAATTCTATCACTTCAACTATATTTACATTCCTTGAAGGTGAGAACTATGTCTACTACTTCTACGCATTTCCCCAAAATGCCTAGTCCAAGTTCCAAAGAGTTGTATCTGCTAATTAGATTAAAAATATATGTACACCAGGATATTATGTTTGTCACTTTCTCTGTTTAATGGGTATGTTTCAAGAGTACCACAAATAATTTTATAGCTAGAAAGGAGTTAATAAAATTACTAATGACGAACATGAAACAAAAGGATAGAGAAGCCCTGTTGAGTTTACCTCCCCACTTTGAAAAGCATGATTCTTTAATGATTTATGAGAAAGTGATAAACAGTAAAAGATTTTCACCACAAACCACAGTATTTAACTAAAATGATTTGGAGTTCTAGATTGTTTAAATATTCCAACTATGCACAGAATATTAAAATGATATTTGACCTAACTCAAATCCTTTTGATATTTTCCATATAAAATAGGTATAAATGACAGAGAATTATGGTATTGAAAATGACCAATCACTGTGTCTATGCAAAGGAAGATACTAAAACCAATTAAATTAAAAAGAATTGTATTTTATTTGCTTAAAAAAAAAATCAAATAGTGGTAATGCCTCAAATTTTTAACAGTGGTTTTATGCCTAGAAATTAAATGGAAACCAGCTAGTGAAATTTGTAAATTAAAGTACTGATGTGAATAAAATGAGGGGAAAGCAATTTTAAAAAATTTTTAAAAATCTTTGACCTTGGAACAGATTCTATTAATTTTTTAGGTGCAAAAAAACCACCCAGTAAGAAAATTAGTTAGGTGCATCTCTCAATAAAGTATCTAGCCCTTTTTTGTGAATAGTTAACACTTGACTTCCCTTGATGTATCCTAGAATATGTATGAGAGCAAAGACCTCTGTATAACCACATTAGATGACATAAAGACAACACAAGAAGTCAAAAAGCTTGTTACTCTGATTTTAAATCAATTCTAGCAAGTTGTGTATCTGGTTTGCATACCCACAGCAATTATGGGCTGATTATAGACAGAGACAACAGGTTCCCCAACATTCATTCGATGCCTGAGCTCTGTCCTGAGGTTGTGTAAGTGAATAAGACAAGTTTATTAATGAGTTGATCAGCTAGTAGCAGAGAAACAAGCATGATTTTTTTTTAATTACTCATGACTAGCATTTCACCTGTTCAGAATTCAACCTAACAGAAAATTTCAACTATTGATAACCCTGCTGTGAGCTCAAAAATGAGCCAGATAGTCATTTGGCAGCAAAACTCAATAGTGTAAAGACCATTTATTTAAACTCAATGACTGCAGACTTAGCACAGTCCCTCATAACTTATTCAGAGCCCACTGCTTGAAAGAACCAATTTTATACAAATATCAAAGGTTACAAAAGGAAATAATATAAGTTGTAAAAGAATTCTAACAGGTGTGTATTTTCTAAACTGATGCAAATTAATGGGCAGAAAAGGATTTTACAGAGACACTACTGCTGTGAGCCATTAACTTTCAGCTGATAGCTGTTAAGAGATGGGAAAACTATTAAAAAAAAAAAAAACTAAAAATTTAAAACACAACAGTCTGAGCCATTTAGTAAAGGGACAAACAGTATTATCCAATTGAACATGCCCTGTCTCACTTTACTACAGCCAATGAAGATTCCCAAACAAATGAATTCAATTATATTCAAAAGATTCTAAGAAAGCAAGAGATATGTAATTGATTTTAGAAGGAAAAAAGCTAAGCTACTAAAGGGGAAAAAAGCAGTGTAATCATAAATTAGGGTTTGCAAACTCCAAAGTCTCAATAGGCCAGGCAGGTATGTAAATGAGGAAAGTATACACATAAGAAACAGAAACTGATAACTGACAGTTGCTATGTCTGAGAGAGCAGGGAGTAATGGGGACCATGAGGCACCAGAGGTGAGTAGCCCAATTCCATTCAAGCCTCTTCTGGCCTTGCCCGAAGAAAGGCCCAGTGCTGCCATACCTAGGATTTCACAAGAATTCTGAAATCTGGCTTTTAAAATTTCAGTATTTAAAGTTTGGTTTACTACATGTGAGTCAAGGAAGACATTTATGTGGAAATGTAGTCAGACACTGGCTACCTCTGGGGTAAATCCTCATTTATTTAGGACTCAACTTCTAGAGGGCTTCCCTGGTGGCTCAGCCAGTAAAGAATCCGTCTGCAATGCAGGAGACTGGGTTCGATCCCTGGGTTGGGAAGATCCCCTGGAGAAGGGAACGGCTACCCACTCCAGTATTCTGGCCTGGAGAATTCCATGGACTATATATAGTCCATGGGGTGGAAAGGGACACGACTAAGTGACTTTCTCTTCACTTCAACTGTCTAGAACAGTTCATTTCTAAGTGTACTAAAAACATTTAATCTATTTTTGATTATTCTCAACTTTGCATTTTGTTACCAGGACACGATGAACTATGAATTCAATTTAGAGTCTTACCTTACTCTCACTGACCTCAGAAATCCATTCTTTTACTAGATTGTTCAGTTTACCAAGAACAACCAGCCTATAATAAAAAATAACATACTTCAGATGAAAACAAACAAAAAACCCCCACCAAAAACAAACAGTATTTTAAAAAGTAATTAAACATATAGGCAGTACCTTTATGTTGGTGCTAGAGTAAAAGCATATTATACACGTGCTAATGCTATCACATCTGTTGACACAAGGCACATCTCTTTGGCATTCTTAGGTTCCTAAGAGTTCCAAAGAGACGATAAATGTGATGATAGTATTTTGGTTTTTGAGCTATTTTTTCAAAATTCAAAAAGCCTAGTTAAAAAAAAAAGTCAAAATTACCTTCAATAAGGCTGCAGAGGCCAACTGAACTGTCAACTTTCTTGGCCTTACTATGGGATAAAATCAATTCAGTGTGGTAATGGTAGAAGTCAGCACTCTCATTGACAGTTACAAGTTTTTGGATAATAAAAACAGGCAAATTATTTACTGGCTAATTTATTATAAAATTTAACTTGATAAAAGCAATTTGATATTAAAACAAACTTGCAACCGATGGCATATCCAAATCCAGATTTAAAAAAAGTTCAGGCATCTCAAAGATAACACATGAGAAACTGAATTCCCGATCTCTCCAAACTTGCTTCTCCCTCAGCCTTTCTCAAGTAATGGAATCCCATCCTTCCAGATGCTGAGACCAAAAATCTTGGCATCATCCTTGATGCCCCTCCCACCCCCCATTCCAGTTATTAAACAAGACATCCAGAATTCTACTATCTCTTATCACCTCCACTGCCATCCCCCTAGTTCCGGTCACCATTTCTTGCTTGCGTTATTAGAATAGTCTCCTAACTAGTTTCCTTGCTTCTGACTTTGACCCCTCTACAGACTACCTCAGTAAAGCAGCCAGAGTGACTGTGTTAAACATCAATCAATCATGTCAATCTGCTGCTCAAAACTCTAACAGCTTCCCATCTCAGAGTAAAAGCCAAAACCTTTATAATGGCTTTCAAGGTCCTAAATGACCTTTCCCTCCAAGCTCCTTCCCACCTCATTTTTTTAAGCCCACATTCCGCTTCTTGTTCACTCTGTGTCATATACCTAGGTTACCTTGCTATCTATTATTTTTTAAATATACCAGGTACAGTCCTATCTCAAGCCTCCGCCTAGACTGCTCTTCCATCAAATGCACAGAGCTCTTTCCTCACTTTCAAAATTTCCCTCAAATGTCAATGACGACTTCCTCGACAACCTCACTCACGGCTTCATTTTTTCTCAGCCGGCAATTGTCATATGTAACACTGTGTTTATTTTACTCACTTGGCTAATTGTTAGTTTCCTCCTCTAAGCTCTTGGATGGCCAAGTTTTCTCTTCATTTTGTCATTTTTATATCCCTACACAGGGACATCACTGGTACATGAATACATGCTTATAGAAGTAATGATTAAAGAATGTACTGTAAAATACTTTGCATTTTTAAACGACATACCTATGGTTCAATTCTTCCTCATCTTCAAACACTCCAAATGGTTTCATGGCATCAATTAATTTCTGTGTGTAAATATGATCAATTTCTTTAGGACATGCCAAGCTAATTGGAGAGGTGATTCCATAATGCTTTTGTTGACGCTGGCTGTCCAGCACGGTGTTTCTGTTCAAGAAAAATGAAACAGCAGAAAAAATTTAAAGTTTCATTTACTGATACATTAAATCTCTCAATCCACTCATTAATTTAGCTACCTTAAAAGTTTACTCAGTACTACTTGGTTGGGCCCCCGCCCCCCTTTTTAAGGTAAAAAGGATATTTTGTGCTTATGGAGATGAAGGACTATTCATTCTGCTTCAAGCTTTCATGGTTATGATATCTTTTCAAGTCAAAAGCAGCCTGTGTTGGCATCAGGACAACTGTGCCAACACCACTCAGTTCAAATGCAAAGAGCCTGAATGGGAGCTGGGCCAGGGCCACCTTGACTATACCCTGCAGACTTAAGTCAAGTACCACCTTTGAAAAGCAGTCAGCCACTTGAAAGAAAGCTCTGAGTAAGAAAACAATGACCCCCAACCCCAGGAAAAAAACAAAATTATTTCATTAGAAGGTCCTCATGAAATACTCGAGCTTTTAAAAAGAAATCACTAGATGTGTCCCTGAGAAACCTATTAACATCCGTTGCTTCCATCAGATTTTATAGTCCTAACATTCTGTGACTCTAGTTAATTGTTTTCTTCACTGTCTAAGTGAAGTCTATGACACCAACTATGATCTTGAGTCCCACTTTCTTATCTCTGTGCTGAAAATGCTGGCTATCAAGGTCCCTACTAGCACTAAAATTCCAAATCCATGGTTCTGAACCTCTCTCATCTGGACAGGAAAACAAAAGCAAGTGACATAATCCCTGGAGAAGTAAACACACTGGAGAAATTCTAGGATAAGTGCACAAGGAGACATGTACAAAAATGTTCACTACCACACTGTGACATTAAAAAAAAAACAACTTAGAAAAAAACCTAAAATAATCACTAACAGGAAATGGACTAAATCAGAATGTATCCCTACAAAGGAATACAATACAGTATTAGTGTGAATTAATTAATTAGAGCTGAAAAATACTATCATGGAGAAATCTCAAAGACATATGTTGCACTAAAGAAGTTGTTGAATGACAAGTGTGGTACTAGTCATATAAAGTTTAAAAACAAGTAAAACAATGCTGATTATGGACATATACGTATGCAGTAATAGCATTAAAAAAATATGCCGCATAAGCATCAAATTCAGAACTGTGGGGAACTCCAGGGAGGGAGGTGAAAGGGCCTAGAGGAGGAGGTAACAGAATTCCTTCAGATGTATTCAGTATGTTCGGTCTCTTTTAACTAAAGATATGTGTGAACGTACACATACACACACACACACACACACACACGGAACGTTATGCTTTGGGAGATGGATGACGGCTACGTAAATGATGCTGTTATGTTATTCTCGGCATTTTTCTGTATGCTTAAATTATTTCCTAATAAACCAAAACGTAAGAAGTTACAACAAAATCTTGCCAAGCACCGACACTGTTCCTGACTTATCAAAGTATGACCAGGAGGTATAGACTGGCAGATGTACTGTGGATAGGTGGGGAAATGAGGGAAGGGTGAAAAAAACCATAGCTTGACTAAAAAGAGAAACCCATGGGCTGGGATAGGAGTGAATGCACTCCAGAAGACCTGAAGACAGCCGGTCAGGAAGGGAGGAGGGGGAGGTAGGGGGATGGTATTTGCGCCAATGCAGACAGGAGCAGAGACCGGCTCAGACAGCGCTGGGGGCAGGAGAGTGACCGACAATTTTTCCCCACAGACACACGGGCCTTTCTCCCGCCGCAACCTAGTCTGGGGGCGTCCTCGGAGATAGGGCAGCCAGGGAACAGATGGGGACTCCTAGAGTCCCCGAGTCTGGCCAGGTGAGCCGCCGGGTGTAGGGGAGGTGCCCTTGCCGACCGGTCTGGAGGGAGAAAGGAGACTACAGTAGAGCTCTGGACAGGACTCGAGAGGCAGGGAACGGAAACGGGGTCCGGGCTGGCCACCCCAGCCCACCCAGTTCTGCCTCACCCCCAACCGCCGCCCCCCACCACTTACGCAGACATCTCTTTCATCGCTTCCTGCGTCTCCCTCACCGGCGAGTTGTCTTTCGCTCTGGAGTCCTGTTCTTGCTCTTCCCTTCTCCTCCTCCACTTTCCTCCGCTTGCTTGTAACTCGCTTGCACGCTCACTCTCTCACTTACTACAGCCGAGGCATCCAACCGAGTAGTGAAAACACCACAAAACCGGCTCTATTTATGACAATACAGCGCGGCCGACGCCAATATGGCGCCGCTTCCCAGCCTGCCCCTCGGCTGCTGCGGCCCCGCCCCTGGAGGCCTGGGCCCGCCCTCGACCCCGCCCCCTCTTGCTTTAGGTCTCTGTAGGCTCAGTGGCCCCGCCCACAGAGGCGCAGGGTTGGGCTGCAAACGCTGGTCTGGAGGAGTGCTTCGTTCCCTGCATTGTCCGTGGGACTGTCTATCCAGGCTAACTGCTTGGAAGGTAACTTGGAACATGTATTCCTTGTTTATCTTGTGAAAGCCTATGTCATATATTTAAAGAAACTACACAACCTTGCCTAGCAAATATTATTTTAACTCTTCCGTTATACAACACCGTTATTTTAATCAGTTATATGTAATTTAATCAATCTATTCCTTGAGGCGATTATGTCGTGAGGGCACACCTAGAAACGTGTGACTTTATAATTACCTGGGAGTGCAGCGAGCATGTAAATTGGAGACTAACTGTTCACCTCTAAGTACCTCCTCCTGATTTCTGACCTTCTAGCAATCAGGTTGGAGAAGGCAATGGCCACACAATCCAGTACTCTTGCCTGGAAAATCCCATGGATTGAGGAGCCTGGTAGGCTGCAGTTCGTGGGGTCGCGAAGAGTCAGACACGACTGAACAACTTCACTTTCACTTTTCACTTTCATGCATTGGAGAAAGAAATGGCAACCCACTCCAGTGTTCTTGCCTGGAGAATCCCAGGGAAGGAGGAGCCTGGTGGGCTACCGTCTATGAGCTCGCACAGAGTCGGACACGACTGAAGCGGCTTAGCAACAGCAATCAGGTAGGGCTTCCCCAGTGGCTCAGATGGTAAAGAATCCTTCTGCAACGAGAGAGACCTGGGTTCAGTCTTTGGGTTGGGAAGATCCTGTGGAGGAGGACATGGCAACCTGCTCCAGTATTCTTGCCTGGAGAATCCCATGAACAGAGGAGTCTGGTAGGCTGCAGTCCGTGGGGTCACAAAGAGACACGACTGAGCAGCTAAAACACACGGGATAAAACACTGAGGGATAAACACACGGCTGAATCAAAATCACATGAGTTCAGATAGTGGAGATCATGTTTCATGCGAATGAGGATGAAAATGGGAAAATGATGACAAATTTTAAAAAGTGAATTTAAAACACTAAATAAGAATGTTAAGAAGCTGCTTTTTCTTGGAATGTAACAATAGAGAGACAAGATAGACTCATTTATTCAAAGATATTTATTGGAAACCTAATCCGTGCCACCCCAAGACAGATGGGTCATGGTGGAGAGTTCTGACAAAACGTGGTCCACTGGAGAAGGGAATGGCAAACCACTTCAGTATTCTTGCCTTGAACAGTATGAAAAGGCAAAAAGATATGACACTGAAAAATGAACTCCCCAGATTGGTGGGTGCCTAATATGCTACTGGAGATCAGTGGAGAAATAACTCTGGAAAGAATGAAGAGACATAGCCAAAACAAAAACATCACTCAGTTGTGGATGTGACTGGTGATGGAAGTAAAGTCCGACGCTGTAAAGAGCAATATTGCATAGGAAGCTGGAATGTTAGGGCCATGAATCAAGGCAAATTGGAAGTGGTCAGACAGGGGATGGCAAGAGTAAACATCAACATTTTAGGAATCAGCAAACTAAAATGGACTGGAACGGGTGAACTTAACTCACATGACCGTTATATCTACTACTGTGGGCAAGAATCCCTTAGAAGAAATGGAGTAGCCCTCATAGTCAACAAAAGAGTCCAAAATGCACTACTTGGATGCAGTCTCAAAAACAACAGAATGATCTCTGTTCGTTTCCAAGGTAAACCATTCAATATCACAGTAATTCAAGTCTATCCCCCAACCAGTAATGCTGGAGAAGCTGAAGTTGAATGGTTCTATGAAGACCCATAAGACATTCTAGAACTAACACCCAAAAAAGATGTCCTTTTCATTATAGGGGACTGGAATGCGAAAGTAAGAGTCAAGAAATACCTGGAGTAACAGGCACATTTGGCCTTGGAGTACAGAATGAAGCAGGGCAAAGGCTAATAGACTGGTCATAACAAACACCCTCTTCCAACAACACAAGAGAAGACTCTACACATGGACATCACCAGATGGTCAACACCGAAATCAGATTGATTATATTCTTTGCAGCCAAGCATGGAAAAGCTCTATACAATCAGCAAAAACGAGACCAGGAGCTGACTGTGGCTCAGATCATGAACTCCTTATTGCCAAATTCGGACTTAAACTGAAGAGAGTAGGGATAACCACTAGACCATTCAGGTATGACCTAAATCAAATCTCTTACAATTATACAGTGAAAGTGACAGATTCAAGGGATCTGATAGACAGAGTGCCTGAAGAACTAAGGGCAGAGGTTCCTGACATTGTATAGGAGGCAGATCAAGACCATCCCCAAGAAAAAGAAACGCGAAAGGCAAAACGGTTGTCTGAGGAGGCCTTACAAATAGCTGAGAAAAGAAGAGAAGTGAAAGGCAAAGGAGAAAAGGAAAGATATACCCATTTGAATGCAGAGTTTTGAAGAATAGCAAGGAAAGAGAAGAAAGCCTTCCTCAGGGATCGATGCAAAAAATAAAGGAAAACAATAGAATGGGAAAGACTAGAGATCTCTTCAAGAAAATTAGAGATACCAAGGGAATATTTCATGCAAAGATGGGCACAAAAAAGGCCAGAAATGGTATGGACCTAACAGAAGCAGAAGATAATAAGAAGAGATGGCAAGAATACACAGAAGAACTATACAAAAAAGATCTTCATGACCCAGATAACCACGATGGTGTGATCACTAATCTAGAGCTAGACATCCTGGAATACAAAGTCAAGTGGGCCTTAGGAAGCATCACTCTGAACAAAGCTAGTGGAGGTGATGGAATTCCAGTTGAGCTATTTCAAATCCTAAAAGATGATGCTGTGAAAGTGCTGCAGTCAATATGCCAGCAAATTTGGAAAATTCAGCAGTGGCCAAAGGACTGGAAAAGGTCAGTTTTCATTCCAAACCCAAAGAAAGGCAATGCCAAAGAATGTTCAAACTACTGTACAGTTGCAGTCATCTCACACGCTAGTAAAGTATGCTCAAAATTCTCTAAGCCAGGCTTCAACTGTGAACCTCCAGATGTTCAAGCTGGATTTAGAAAAGGCAGAGGAACCAGAGATCAAATTGCTAACATTCGCTGGATCATCAAAAAAGCAAGAGAGTTCCAGAAAAACATCTACATCTGGTTTATTGACTATGCCAAAGCCTTTGACTGTGTGAAAGTGAAGTTGCTCAGTTGGGTCCGACTCTTTGCAACCACAGGACTGTAGCCTACCAGGCTCCTCAGCCCATGGGATTTTCCAGGCAAGAATACTGGAGTGGGTTGCTGATCACCACAAACTGTGGAAAATTCTTCAAGAGATGGGAATAGCAGACCACCTGACCTGCCTCCTGAAAAATCTGTATGCAGGTCAAGAGGCAACAGTTAGAACTGGATATGGAACAACAGACTGGTTCCATATCAGGAAAGGAGTACATCAAGGCTGTATATTGTCACCCTGCTTATTTAACTTATATGCAGAGTACATCATGAGAAATGCTGGACTGACAGAGTGGTCATCGCCCCTTTTTCTTTGAGACTGGGTTCTCACATGTCTGAGAAGGTGAATAGGTAGATAGTTAGACATGAGCAGGTATCAATAGGGGCCAAAGAATTGGCCCCAAAAATAAAGAGAGGATCCAAGGACAAAAGAGCAGATGAAACCAAGGAGGGTCTTGGAATGCAGGAACAGATAAACCAGACTCTTACTGTCCTTCTCTCCCCCACATTGTAACTATTAATGAATTTCAGATCTTCCTGAGCAGTATAACCTGTCTCCCCTCCTACCCCACAGGGAGAAGCTGTTTGCTTTACTCTTCCCTCCACCCAGTATATGTGCCTTATCCAACCAGCAAATGACCCGCAAGACCCCTATCCCACTCCTTGTACCCTGAGTATAACAGTGAACTAAGGACCCCTATTTGAGGTTGGTTCTCCCTTGAGCTGGCCCACTTGTCTAACAGCATCTCCCACTCTAATAAACTTTATTTCCCTCTTAAAGAAAAAGGAAATGCTGGACTAGATGAAGCACAAGCTGGAATCAAGATTGCTGGGGGAAATATCAATAATCTCAGATATGCAGATGACACCACACTTATGGCAGAAAGTGAAGAAGAACTAAAGAGCCTCTTGATGAAAGTGAAAGAGGAGAGTGAAAATGCTGGCTTAAAGCTCAACATTCAGAAAACTAAGATCATTGCATCTGGCCCCATCACCTCATGGCAGATAGAGGGAAACAGTGGAAACAGTGACAGACTTTATTTTTTCGGCTCCAAAATCACTGCAGATGGTGACTGCAGCCATAAGATTAAAAGATGCTTACTCCTCATTAAATGTTATGGCCAACCCAGACAGCATATTAAAAAGCAGAGACATTACTTTGCCAACAAAGGTCTGTCTAGTCAAAGCTATTGTTTTTCCAGTAGTGACATATGGATGTGAGTGTTGGACTATAAAGAAAGCTGAACACCGAAGAATCGATGCTTTTGAACTGTGGTGTTGGAGAAGACTCTTGAGAGTCCCTTGGACTGCAAGGAGATCCAACCAGTCCATCCTAAAGGAAATCAGTCCTGAATATTCATTGGAAAGACTGATGCTGAAACTCCAATACTTTGGCCACCTAATGCGAAGAACTGACTCATTTGAAAAGACCCTGATGCTGGTAAAGATTGAAGGTGGGATGAGAAGGGGACAACAGAGGATGAGATGGGTGG